CCCTCGATTTCCAGGACATCCTCCAACGCTTCGCCTTCGATAACATCTGCAAAATCGCTTTTGGATTCGAAGCCAACTACCTGACGCCGGCTGTTGAACGGAGCAAGTTCGCGGTGGCGTACGAAGAAGCGTCAGAGATAATCAGCAAACGGTTACGCGAACTGTTTCCGTTAGTGTGGAAAGTGAAGAGGGCGCTTAACATAGGTTCGGAAAAGCGGTTGCGAATGGCAGCGAGGGAAGTGCATGAGTTCGCCAAGAACATAGTGAGAGAGAAGACGAGAGAGCTGAAGGAGAAGGAATCCCTTGAATCGGCAGACATGCTTTCGCGTTTCTTGAGTTCGGGGCACTCTGATGAAGACTTTGTGACGGACATAGTCATAAGCTTCATATTGGCGGGGAAGGATACCACGTCAGCAGCGCTGACCTGGTTTTTCTGGCTGCTATCGAAGAACCCTCGAGTGGAGAAGGAGATTGTGAATGAGATATTGGACAAATCGGAGGCTCCGGTGTACGATGAGGTGAAGCATATGGTTTACACGCATGCAGCGTTGTGCGAGAGCATGCGCCTGTACCCGCCGGTGCCCATGGACTCGAAGGAAGCGGTGGAGGACGACGTTTTACCGGATGGGACGGCGGTGAAGAAGGGGTCGCTGGTGACTTATCACGTGTACGCCATGGGGAGGTTGGAGAGTATTTGGGGTGAGGATTGGGCAGAGTTTAAGCCAGAGAGGTGGTTAGAGAAGCTTGAATCCGGAAAGTGGAAGTTTGTGCCAAAAGATTCTTTCACTTATCCTGTGTTTCAAGCTGGTCCCAGAATGTGTTTGGGGAAGGATATGGCTTTTATGCAGATGCAAAGTGTGGTGGCTGGGATTCTTCGGCGGTTCGCGGTTGTTCCCACGGTGGCCGAAGGCGTGGAGCCCAACTTCATTTCCTTCCTTTCCTCCCAGATGGAAGGTGGTTTTCCTGTCAAGATCGTTGAGCGGGAAACCTCAAATTAATACCCAACTTCTGTCATTTCGACGACCACGTCATTCCTTCACTATTTTACTAGTATCATGTTTGGGATTTGAGTTTGAGGTTTATGTTTCAATTGTTTGTATTTTTTTTATTGTATTAATATTCGTAATCCTTATTATTTGAGAAGAAAAATAATTGTTTGACCTTATAGAGGTATTTGAAAACTTACTTTCAAGAATAAAATAATCATTAAAAAGGTAAATTTTTGTATTTGTAAGTATAGAAAAAGATAAAACGGATAAAAGAGTAAATATTTCACATTTTTTAAGTTTTTAATTTAGTCATATTTAACTTAAAATTGAGTGAATGTGGTAACTTTTCTGAACATTATATTGGTTAGCGTAAAGTAAGCGTGACATTATTCATGTTGTATTTTCGTCTTTGTTAGATCTTGTTTCATTTTGGACATCCTTTTCTGGAATGAAAAATAACTTACGTAGTCCAATTTACTCACAAGTGTGCAAAAACATGGAAATTTAGAGGTTTATGATTGGTTGAATGTTTGTGTGATTTTGAGATACGATTTTAATAATTTAGTGGAGGTTGTGGTTGAATTATTTTAGGATCATTTATTCACCGTTTGGTTCCTAAGTCATTGACACTTTTGATTCTTTAATTATTGTCGTGTTAGTTTGTTTGCGGACTTTATATTGGGTTCAAAATGTTGTTTATATAGAGTTTTCTTATCAGAACTTATTTTTTAAGTTTAAGTATTTGATGAAAATAATTATTATCTATATAATCTTAAATTTATCGTGTTAATGATTAGAACTATAAATTATAATATGTACAATAATGATAAAATAACATAGCATTTAACATTTGATATTAATAAAAAAAATATTTTATAATTTATCACTATTACAAAGTTATGAATAGACAGCCGTGTTTATTTAATTAAGTACTATAAATCAATATAAAAAATCTTTAGAATTTGGACAACTCAAAATTGATGAAAACCAATTGCCAGGTCCTAGTCCGGAGTCATTTTTATATTGAAACTTGATAATAGACTTATCTCTTGAATTACGTACTTGTATCAGTCTCTGAATACATAAACAAACTTGGAAGTGTTACTGCCACTGATTACCACTGTCATATAACATATGTAAAGTTTGAAATCCCATTTATCCCTATTGGAGTTAAATTTTCATTTTTCAGAATGGTAATTCCTTATAAACTTGGTCAATCTTCAGAATTTTGGGTTTGAGATTCCACTATAAACTTGGAAATCAATGATTGAGGTTTTAACAACTTTATAATTTGTTGGACGTGTATTTTATAATAACCTTAACTATTGGTTTTCAATCAAGTATTATCTTCACTAACTCTCTAGTGTACCCCTGCAATTCACAGTAGCCCAATAAAGATTTTTTCTTCCTTTGATGCTTTTCTTTTTCATTGTTAACATTTTGAAAAATGCTGATTGATTTGTTCATTGGATGGTCTTTTCCTTTAACTTCTTTTCCACTTTCATTGTAGATATTCTCTGAGAGGAGGGGACAATGGAAATCTGCAACACATTCCTAGGAGTTCGTTAGGACTCTTCAACAATATTACAGCAATGCTTACATGGACGCTGAGAAGCAAAATGCAATTAACATATGTATGTGTGACGGTCATGTATTTCTTAACTGTTTATTGTCTCCAAGTAATGGCTAGGAATTCAAGTCTAAGTTTCGTATTGAATAGAAATAAAAAAGTAGAGCCGTATATAAAGATGAAAAACCCATTAATCAATTACTTTAAGGTTTTTGGTATAAAGTAGTATTGATCTCCTATACAGTCAGATAGTATTAGTGTTTGTGTAACCCATAGGAAAACCTCCTCCTTAATAGACACAACAGTGGTAAGATTATTTCCCGTGGTTGGATTGATGGCTTGTCTTATTAGCGTGTTTGATGTGGAAATTGGGTGCCTATGATACCCAAGTTTTCCATTAATTGCTCCCTACCAAATTCTCATAACTGGGAAACATAGACAAGAAAAACGTTAGAGTTGAGCAAAGTCTCGTTCTATGGGTTGTACATGGTGTATCCCTCATAGATTAATTTCCTTTCACTGTGTGGTGAGTTGTGGAGGTAGTTGCACTCTGTAGTGAATTTTGAGATGAGAGCTAGTAAGCCCAAGCCCTAGCCTGCTGTAATTATTCATATAGCTGTTCCTAAGAAAGAGTCCTTCCTATGTGGGATAATTAGTTGTTCTGGAATTTTATCTATTGAGCCTCTTATGTTTCCATAGTTTTTTTATCATGCTTTTGTTCCTTTTTCCTTTCCCTGTTTATTTTTATTATTTACTATATATCATCTGCATTTACTTTTATTATGTGTGTATGAAATTATGGATATGTATATATAATTAATTTGTAGTAAAATTTTAATTTACTAATTTTATATTTTTATTTTTTGTAATAAGAGTGAGTTTATCACCAAACTCTGAATAGTTTAAACTATACTTTTAATGGAATTACGGAACTTACAAAGCTATGTCTGACTACCATGTTAAAAACAGGGACTTATTGCCAACATCTTAGAAAGCTATATCTATTAGCTTTGCCATTTATTGTTTTTTGTTTCCCTACATTTTGTTTATTTTGATGTATTTCAAAGTATTGTACTGATAATAATTTTTTATAGATACACTAATGTAATGAGTCTTCTTTTTGTGACCTTTGTCTTTTTTATATTTTGTCTAATATTTTATGTTTTATGTAAATATTCGAACCAATACAGAATGCTCGTTTGGAAAACTGGTATCTATTGAAAAATTAAATAAATTAATTAAAAAAAATTGGACCAATAGACAATTCTTGTTTTAAAAAGTATTCTCTATATTGAAAAATTAAATAAATTAATTTTAAAAAATTGGACGAATAGTCAATTCTTGTTTTAAAAAGTATTCTCTATTGAAAAATTAAATAAATTATCTAAAAAAAATCAGATTAATAAACAACGTTGGCTTGAAAAAGTGTTGTCTATTAATTACTTCATAAATAACACTTTTTCAAATAAACACGACCTATTAATGATTATTAGATAATACTTTTCTAAACATTGTCTATTAATAGACAACCGTCTAATAAACAACACCTAAAAAATGCCGTTTACTAAAAAAGAGCGTTGTCTGTTGATAATTTAATAATAATAATAATAATAATAATAATAATAATAATAATAATAATAATAATAATAATACGACGTTAGAAAAGAGATCAATACTTATTCTCTTAAAAAAGAAAACCATTAATAATATCTTACTAATAATTTAATACCATAATGTAAAAGACAGGGATGGTGGTTGTCCAATACGATAGAGATAACAATACTATCTTACTAATAATATCTTACAAAAAGGAAACCTTTAATAATATATTACTAAAAATGCAAGTTTAAGTTTCCTTGCGATAATTAACAAAGTATGATAGAGATAACAATTAATTTTTTCGTATCTTTGTACAAAATTTTTAACAATAATATTTATGCACTACAAAAAAAAAGCTTATTTAGAGGGGTTTTTTTTTTCAATTTGCGGGGGTTTTTACCCTCCGCTAAATAAATTCCGGGGGTTTTTCAAACCCCCGCAGTTTGAGTCGCCACAAATTATCTGCGGGGGTTTTTTTCGCCCCCTGGTATCATATTCAATTTGCGGGGGTTTTTCTACGGAGGGTAAAAACCTCCTCTATATATTCAATTTGCGGGGGTTTTTCGGCGGAGGGTAAAAACCTCCTCTATTACTGACTATTATTTTGAGGGGGTTTTTAACCTCCTTTATATTTTTGTCACTTTTTTGTTTAATGATTATTAAAATATATAATATCGTTTTTTGTTTGATGATTATTAAAATATATAATAACTATCTATTTCCATTTTTTTTTTCAATTTCAAAATTAAATAAATTTAATTTTTTTCTAAAATTATTAAATACCAAACAAATATGATTCATTTGATTAAAAAAAGATATCATACAACAAAAGCCCCTGAATAGAAAGAAATTTAGAAAAATAAATTGAGAAACAATTTTATAGTCACATCAAGATAGACTATAAGTCAATGTAATCTCATTACAAAAGTAGTTACAAAGAAAGAAATGTTACTCAATTCATAATAAACTAGGTATAGTTTTATCCTAAAACAATATCATAAACTTCCTAAATGTTACTTCCATCAGATGATTGTCTTGCACCCAAAGGAGACTCTGGCTCATTTGCATCAGGAGCTTGCTGAAATAATATAAAAAAAAATTAATAAAATAAACTCAATTACATGTACTCACATTTTGTAAATAATATATAAAAAAATAATCAAATTCACTCTTATCAATTCTAACAACCTACCAAGTCAGACGTATAGTTCAATAGCTAAAAGGCAGGCCTCCACATAACAAGTCTAAACTGCTACCAAGTATATAAACAACTGATGATCAAAGTTCGACTGCCATGAGTTTGTAAGGTTGATTAATAATAGCCTTAATTACTTCTAAGCACACTAGCCACACCTGTTAGTTACCGTATCAGCCCCTGTATCAATTGCATCAAGTATTTCCCACGGTTCTCTAAACTTTACACTATATCAGATAGCACCTTAAACATCTAAAGGAAAACTAATTAACCTAGAGAAAGAAAGACTATTCCAAGTCTCGTTCTATTCATAATCGGCGTTATATGTTTTCCAAACTAGAAACCTACTCAGATGCTTAGACACACCACCACCAGCTTACCTCACGGTTTGACCATCAACCAAACCCCTGTTTAATCCCTTCCCTTCACCAACCTAACAACAAGACTGTTTCAAAATCACTAAAACAGAAGGGATGTAATTCTGCACCAGAAACAAGTGTGTGAAAATTAATTGCTACTATCTTACTAGTCATACAAAAACCTAACCCTTCATATCAGCAAGTTGATTGTTTTTGCTGAGTAGAATGAGAATATAAATATACCACACATTGCACAAGACAATATGGTTCATGTCCACTAACACTTTTCATTGTCACTATCAATTACACCCCATATAAACCATAAGTAATCCAAGTGAGAAAAAGTTATCGGAAAATGGAGAATTTGAGTCTAAAAGCAACAGTGGAACAAAAGAATCCAACAAATTTTGATTACATTTACATGCCAACCATTCTAGTAAAAAGCCAAATGAGCCTACCTTAGTTCGAGCCCGGCGTTCGCTGGTACTTTAATTGCTTGCAAAAACATCTAGCCATATTCTTAGAGATATGTCTTTCTTACATTTCAGTCTTTCAAAATAATATAATATAACTCAAATTATATAACTGGGTCTCCAATAACGAATGCAAAATCCTCTAAGAATCATGGTAATTATCGATTGCATATATAGAGTGATCACGCCAACCAAAGGCTGTTTATATAATAATGACAGTGGCAGAAGTAGGGGAAATGCACAACATTACAGAATGACAGTGGAGAGTGGATATGGGATATGCATTGTGCTGTAGTTTGCATGGTACTCTCATTACATATTTTGCATGCACATCTAATAAATAACAGACATACAAATAGTAGGGATTCAGAATTTGCAGGGTGTAGGCCCTCCACCCAACGAAAAGCTAGAATAATTAATTAATTATAGCTTTCAAATTCCATATATCAGCTGTGACAGACTTCCTATCCCAAGCTTTCAAATTCTATAATTATGTGTTTCTTATGAGGTTAAAGAACTGATCACTGCATTTCTCGACTACTAGATATTTTAAATCATAAATTTCTTTCATCTCTAAGTGTCTCTATTTTTAATTTTTATGATGTGGTTTTGATTTTTTCATCTGTTCATCACATTTTATTCCCCTATAATAAAACATAATTGGTATATTTAACATGTAGGTGAATGTCTCATCAGAAGGTAGCCACATCAATTGCATGTATCTCAAAAACAGAATTGGTATATTATTACAGTATATCAAGCATATTACTTTACTTAATTAGTATCTTACTTGTGGTGAGGATCAAAGAAGGTAGCCAATTCATCAGGAATCTTTCCTTCCTTCATTATCATATTATGTTTCAGCGCACCTTTAAATTCATGTACTTTTGTTCCCATTGATTAGTAGATGTTGATGATGTGGCAGTACTAGATGAACCCATGCTTAAATCTGAAAGTCGCATTTTGTATTTCTGAATGAGTTAGATAGGAGCTGCTCCCAAACCATGCATCGACTCTCCCAGAATGCTCTGGGCCTAACACTCTACCAACAACATCATGAGGGGAAACCTGTGATTCATCAGTAGTGCTTTGACTCAAACCCACTTCAATTTGTCTGAGGCATAGAAGAAGTTGTAGTTAAAGATCTAAATATTGAAATAATGTTTGAAAATATCATATTATAGTAAAACTTACCGCTTAGCCTTTGCCGCCTCATTTACAAATGAGCCATCTTTTTTTTTTGAGAGTCAATATAAACATTCCACGACTAGGCAGTTTTCCACTATCCAAAAGCTAATAAAAGGATAAGTTAAAATAAATAGTAAATTTGAAAATACTAAAAATCGTCATATATGCTAATCTCAGTACCATCTCATGTCTTCTTCTTGAGATAGGTTTAGAGCCACCAGTATGAGGAATTACTTGCTTCTTGCGATTTCTCTATTTTTTTTACAAATATCCTATAAAAAAACAATTGTAAGTTGACATAACAATCAAAATAATAATATACACAAAAGCAATGAAAATAATATGAAACTTGTACATTGTCTCCGGTTTTAGACAGGTAACGAAATGGCCCATTGAGTTTGCTTATTACCGGTCGGCAAATTACATATGATTTGATCTTTTGTTTTTGTTGGATCATAAACTCATTCCATAAACGTTGTCTATGTGCAGCCCCACTTCTTACCCAAAGTTAATTTGCAATATCTTTGGGCAATAGCTTCAGTAGTCTTAAAACAAAATCGAAGCTTTGAAAAGAAAACTAGTAGTGAGTAAAAATAGTGTGGGGCAATTTGAATACATAATGTATATATACCTGTAATATTTCCTTAAAGCATTCTAAAAAAGTAGGTGTTAGGGATGCCTGTTTTTCAGACCACCTTTCAAAATTGATTGGAAATAAATTATCGTCCGTTGCCAATATCCCACAATAAACCCGCCAAGTACTCCTTGCCCTTCGCCTATAGCCAGCCTACCTCATCAAAGTCTACAATGATGCGTTGTCCATGAGGTAAGTTACTTACTTCTCTGACTTCACCTTTATTTTCTTCATAACTCCTTGTAGGTCTTTAACAATAAAAAAACTTATGAGAGAATAAAGTTGAGTAGCACGTTAAATTAATCATGATAACAATATACTTAAGCTTTGAAATTACTACATAATGGCTACGGTTACATTTTTAATTATTGAAATTGTATAAGCAACGAACTAAATTAGTACACTTACCAATTTTTAAATCTAAAAGGAAAGTGTGAAGCCTGGTTTGTATGGGTGGGTTACTCTGAGCTCTTAGTGACGAGGCCATTACGTAGTAGAATAAAGGTGCTAAGGTTGTAGGGGCCCCTACGCTAGGGCCAACCACTTTATTTTTATTGTGGTTTGTTTTTTAGTAATATCAAGGGAACATTTTATAAAGGGTTTGAACTTTCCACTATATATTCGCTGAACTTTTATCACCAAATGTACCATAAGTTTGTGTATAGTATTAGCTAGTATATAGGTAAGCTACCTTCAGATTTGACATGAGATGAAATCAATTCAGTCTAACTCATTTAGTGTTGTTAGAATCAACAAGGAAACCATTTCTTTCTACACTTCTATAGTTTCTGTGTACATCCTTATAGGTGTGGGTTAAGAAAATTATTTTAACCCCTCTTACATCAGTCAATGATCAGCTTAGCTCAATTTAAAAAATACAAAAATTAATTTATACTTTTTTAATGTATCTTTTTAAAATTTAATTCATGTAAATAAAAGGTTTAATTCCATACAATCCCTATTTAGTACGATGTCTCAATGGGTCCTCGTTTTTTCAAGTGTATCAAAATGATCCTTAATTTTGAAAATTGATATCAATTGAGTCCTTTCCGTTAAGTTGGCTGGACGGCGTTAAAAAAATGTGAGTGATGCTTGAGATGACGCAGACGAACGCTCGTCCACCAGCGAACGAACGCTTCGTTCACACAGCGAACGAACGCTCGTCACCAGAGAACGAACGCTCGTCGACCTCTTACTGCGGACGACCGTTCGTTTCCACACTGGAATACCGTTCGTGGTGGTTCGACGAGCGTTCGTTTCGCTGATGGACGAGCGTTCGTTCGCTGGTGGAAGAGCGTTCGTCGCATCCCGCATCCACTCTCAATTTTTTCAACGCCGTCCAGCCAATTAACGGAAAGGACTCAATGATACATTTTCAAAATTAGGACCATTTTGATACACTTTAAAAAACGAGACCCAATTGAGGACATTCGTACTAAATGGGATGTAGTATAGGATTAACCTAAATAAAATTAATTTTACTTTTAGATGCAAATAGTTTGATAGGTACCCAACTAATATTTGATAAATAACTGGATAAGGAAAGGTGCCACAGACTAAGGTTTGATAGGCCTGAAGATGATTGTCACAAAATTAGAAAATTCTTTGTAAGATGGCAAGATGTAGGAAAAGTCCTAGGAGAGATTAACTTTACAATTATATTGGCAAACTATATTATTATGATTTCTAAAGATTTATAAATATAAGATGTGAGTGGTGGGTTCAATCATAAGTGATTTGTTTTTTACTCTTCAACATAAATAAAATTTAAAAAATTATGATGCAGAAAAAATAAATGACATATATTTATTGCATCAAACATTCCAATATGATGAAGAAATCACGCCCAATTGCACAAGACAATATGGTTCATGTCCACTAACACTTTTCATTGTCACTATCAATTACACCCCATATAAACCATAAGTAATCCAAGTGAGAAAAAGTTATCGGAAAATGGAGAATTTGAGTCTAAAAGCAACAGTGGAACAAAAGAATCCAACAAATTTTGATTACATTTACATGCCAACCATTCTAGTAAAAAGCCAAATGAGCCTACCTTAGTTCGAGCCCGGCGTTCGCTGGTACTTTAATTGCTTGCAAAAACATCTAGCCATATTCTTAGAGATATGTCTTTCTTACATTTCAGTCTTTCAAAATAATATAATATAACTCAAATTATATAACTGGGTCTCCAATAACGAATGCAAAATCCTCTAAGAATCATGGTAATTATCGATTGCATATATAGAGTGATCACGCCAACCAAAGGCTGTTTATATAATAATGACAGTGGCAGAAGTAGGGGAAATGCACAACATTACAGAATGACAGTGGAGAGTGGATATGGGATATGCATTGTGCTGTAGTTTGCATGGTACTCTCATTACATATTTTGCATGCACATCTAATAAATAACAGACATACAAATAGTAGGGATTCAGAATTTGCAGGGTGTAGGCCCTCCACCCAACGAAAAGCTAGAATAATTAATTAATTATAGCTTTCAAATTCCATATATCAGCTGTGACAGACTTCCTATCCCAAGCTTTCAAATTCTATAATTATGTGTTTCTTATGAGGTTAAAGAACTGATCACTGCATTTCTCGACTACTAGATATTTTAAATCATAAATTTCTTTCATCTCTAAGTGTCTCTATTTTTAATTTTTATGATGTGGTTTTGATTTTTTCATTTATCATTGTTTCCATTGGATTTTCAAAATGAAATGTCTCTTGTGACTCATCTTCATTGCAGCTTCGTCCACCGACTGCAAATCTGAAAGGAAAAGGAAACACGGGCAATCCAAAGGAGAAATGAAAGAAATGAATGACAACAGGAAATAGAAGAAGGAAGAAAGGAAGATTGCGTACCTGCGAGGGAGAAATCGGATGGAATGAAGGGGGAACTGATTTTGCGGATGGAATTAAGGGGGGAACTGATTTTAGGGTTCAGTGGTTTAAGCATATGGGTTTAAGATATGAAGGGAATAAAATTTTAGGATTGTTAAAAGAAAACTTACTGTAAAATTTTTAGAGGGAAAAATGTAAAAGAATTAGTAAATGAAAAAAAAATATATATTATTATTTGAGGAGGTTATAAACCTCTCTTAAAAGGAATTAAAACTCCCACAAACATTGTTAGTTAAATAATTTAAATTAAACATCTTAAGTTGTGTTAATTTGAGGGGGTTTTTTATACCCTCTCCAAAATAACCCCTCTAAATAAGATTTTTTTTAGTGATGATAGAAATATTGTTCTTACAAGACCGAGATGTATTCGTGTTTCTGACATTCCTATTGTCTTTTATATCCACTCCTTCAAAATTGATGTCTTTGTGTATGTATTTATGAATTTTTTTTTTCCAAACTTGATCATAAAAGTCTTTGGTCGACGGGATGTTTGTAAAATCATTTTGACACTCAAGTTACTCGTACGTCACAAAAGTAATGAATATGTTGTAATAATTGAGTCAGATCTCATACCTCATGTATATTTATAGTACTTGTATATATAGGTTTTGTCTTTCATGGACTTAGATTTCATAGAGATATGCACTTTAGGATTTCTTTACATGTGATTAGGCATCTTAATCAATTATCATTTATCTAAAACTGGGTTTATTAGGATAATGTTGTGAGTGTAGTTGTCCGAGGTTATCTCGTCCTATACAGGTATATTGGTTAATGTTTTCTAATATGTTGATGATTAATATGTTGATGATAATGAAAATGATTAATATGTTGATGATTCTAATAATTGTTAAATTCATGATTCTGTTTTGAATGATAATAAAAATTATTAAACTCTGATATCATATTGGATAAAAAAGGTAGTACTCTTGATGTGAGTCCAGATATTCTCTATTGAGTTTTGTTTTAGTGTTGTTCTGTGTTGAACATTAAAAATAGACTTATGTTAGTATATTATAATTCTTTTTAATATATTTTAAAACATAAAAACAATGTCAATCAATATATTTTGAAAACATAGTAGAGAGATAATAAAAAAAACTAATAGAAAAACAAAATTCAAGATAAATATTACTGCTTCGTGGGGAAAATAAAGAGAGAAAAAAAGGGAAAGAATAAAGGCCTCAAAGAGGAAAGAAACGAAAAAGAAAAATAAGCTATTATTGACTGAAAATTGAAACTGTTAAACTGATAACTATATTACGTTTTATTTTTCTATTGTTGAGACCATGGTGGGTAATTTAAATAAAGTTATATATAAGAAGTGTATTGGCATGTGAATTGGTTATAAAAGACACTCTCCCTGATAGATATCTCCCCTTCCCTCTTCCTAGGTAAGTGAAAGGTATAAACATGATTCTTTCTATATAACCTTTTTGCATTCATGTTCTTCTAATTTTACTTTTCTTAAAATTAATCTCACTCCGCACATGCTATCTCACATTTTCTAAACCATAAATGATTTTCTAAAACTCGTATATACGATTTAGTAATTTTCTAAATACACTCGAGTAAGTATAATTTTAAATATTCTTGTTGACATAATTCGGGGTGTGTTCACTTGGGGAAGAGGAATTGAGAGAGAATGAGTGGATGAATTTGAGGGGAATTGAGGTGAATTAATTGTTGTTTGTTTAAGCGGATTTGGAGGTAAATGAGAGTAGATTTGAAAATAAAGTTTACAAGGATTAGTGTAGGATTTGATTAATGTGACAGATAAAAAAAATTGTTTAATTAGTAAAAATTGAAGATTACCAAAATATCCTTAGTAGTAAAAATAATATAAGATGATAATTATTAATGTTATATATAATTGTAAAAAAATTATAAGAAGAAAAAAATAAAATTATTTTTTAAAATGTGAAAGAAATTGTAATTTAGTAAATTAAAATAATAATAATAATATTATTATAATAATAATTATTATAATAATAATAATTATTATTATTATATTTATTATTAATATATATTATTATTAAAACTACTCAAGTTTGATAATTAGAATGGATATTTTTATTATAATCACCTCTAAATCTCCTTTATCAGCTAGGAATGAAATTTTTTTATATCCTCCAAATTCATTTGCACAAATTCACACTAATCCATGAAAGAGAACATAAAATTAATCGCAAATCTATCCAGACAAGCCATCCTTTACAACCAGAGCATCAGAGTCCCAAGTATAACAGAGCAGTAATTTGTAAGAGAATACACTAACTATTTTAGTTACGCAAGGTCAAAGAAATATGTGTTCATGTCCAAGCACTCATGTTAAATTTTAA